TCCTTCCGAGGAGTGGCTGGTGGGTTTGAACCGCCAGCCTTCTGGTTAGCAGTCAAGTGCTTTAGCCACTATGCTACCAGAGCTCCCTTAGGAGAGAGGAATTAGGAGAATTAGCCTGTATCAGTTGTCAGATTGCTCCTGTTATCTGAATTGTTCCAGTAGCTTCCTAACTGTCTCTGCCTCTGGTGTTGCCCCTGCAGTCTATTCCCAACATAACAGACCCTGTTGTTCCTTTGCCTAGAATTTCTTGTGGTTTCCATCTAACTCCAGATAAAAGCCAAAGCTTCTGTGTTAACCTGTTCAGCCCTATGTGTCCTGATTCCCTGTGACCTCCCTGAGCTCATATCTACCTACTTCTACCCCCAACACACACTCTCTGCTCAAGACAAAAAGAACTCCCTGTTCTTCCTGGAACGTACTAACACACTCCTTTGTAGGATCTTGATTTTCCATCTGCCTGGAATGTTCTTCCCAGATATTTGCATGACTCACTCTTTTACTTCCTCAGCTTTTTTTCTTTCTTATCAAATGGCTGGGGCCAGGAACTTTACTCAGATCTTCATACTTCCTCCTGACATTTGTCACGTCATGCTCATTCATGACACCTTCTGGCCTTCCAAGGAAATATATATGGGCCAGGGAGTCAAGGGCTACCTTCTATTCACATTTTATCTCCTTCATGTTTTTCAAGCTTTAAGAATATCCTGATGCTATTTTTGGGAGCTCTGGTGGTGTAGTGCCTAAGGCATTTGACTGCTAACAAGAAGGCTGGTGGGTTCAAACCCACCAGCCACTCCTTAGAAGGAAGATTGGGCAACCTACTTCTGTAGAGATAACACCTTGGAAACCTAAGGAGGGGTTGCTATGAGTCAAATCGACTTGACGACAGTAAGGGGTTTTATTTATTATTTATTTTGAGATGCTATTTTTTATTCTTACTGATCCAACTCCCCAAAAGCATACAGATTCCTGAGAGGGTCCCAAACCAGCCCCTGATGAGCCATGAACAAGAGTGACAGTACCTGACTCATTGTGTATATCTGAGCTAAGCATGCTTGGTTGAAAGTAACCATGGAAAGGTTGACTGCTATTGTTCACTAAGAAATAAACATATTGGGCAGGTCAGCTATGCAGCATAACTTCAAGGACATTGGTCCTGACTTTGCAGGGCCATCTTGCCCTCCTTGGGATGTGGTAAAGGACTTCCGTTTCTCTAGGGCTGTCCCAGCTTCTCCACTTACCTCTAGTGATGTGTCTCTCAAAGCTGTATAGAGCACAGGTAACCCTTCTGAGGAGGGGAAGAAGAATAAAATAAGCATTTATGGAGTACCTGCTTATGATACAAACAGTTAAGCACTTGACTGCTAATGGAAAAGTTGGCAATTTGGACCCACCCGGTAGATCCATGGGAGAGTGATCTGTTGATCTGCTTTCGTAAAGATCGGAGCCAAGAAAGTCCTATGAAGCAGTCCTATTCTGTCAGTTGGGGTCACTGTGAGTTGAAAACAACAGCACTCAACAAAAACACCACCACTGCTTCCCATACCACACCAGGCTGAGAATAAAGAAGGAGCAAAGTTTAAGAGTCCTCCAAACTCAAGAGGTACAGAGATATCATTTGCAGCTCTGTTTGTAGGTGTCATGTAAGGAGAGGTGTTCCATGGTTTACTTAAAAAAAAAAAAAGTTGCTATCCAGTTGAATCTGACTCACCTCAGCCCCGTGTGCGTCAGAGTGTAACTGTGCTTCACAGGGTTTTCAGTGACTGTGACCTTTTTTTCCAAGGCACCTCTGGGTGTACTGGAACCCCCAACTTGTCAGTCAGCAGCCAGCCACGTTAACTTACTTCACGCAAGGACTCTTAACAAGCTGTAAAAACCAGAATTTGAGCCTTGAGCCTTTGTGGATTTCCAGTTTCTAGGCTATTCCATGTTTGGGCCAAGCTAAGTCCAGGAAGCAGAGAGAGTAGTTCTCACTTGGCTTCTAGTGATATTGGCAACATGATCTGATCCATATTTCCTGGATATTTTCTTGTTCAATAGAATCACTTAGTAGACTTTGGTATACATTGGATTTTAAATCTCTTTATTTTAATATTTAAAGCCTGTATTAATTGTCAGATTGCTCCTAAAGAATAAATAAAGTGCAAATAAAGAAAATAAATAAAGAATAAGCAAAGTGGTTTACATTAGACATCCCAAAAAAACAAAAACAATGCTTAAGCTATTCCAAATGTCCACATGCCTATTCAAGTCTGATCAATAATAATTAGCATTGATCACTGTGTGTTTTCATTTTTCCTGTTTGGTGGCCACTGTCCTGATGGGAAGGAGCTCTGGTGACTTAGTGGTTAAAGCATTGGTCTGCTAACCAGAAGGTCATTGGTTCAAACCCACCAGCTGCTCAGTAGGAGAAAGATGGGGCAGTCTGCTTCTGTAAAGATTTACAGCCTTGTAAACCCTATGGGGCAATTCTACTCTGTCATATAGGGTTGTGAATGAACTTGATGGCAGTGGGTTTGATTTTTTTTGGATTTTGGTCCTGGTGGAATGGCAGCGTATCTAAGGCCAGCCAGGAATTGCTCATATACCGTTATGTAAGAGAATGACATCACCAACCAACACTCTATTCCAGACCAAATTTACTATACTATCTGTGACTTAGCACAGGCATGAATTTTGCTGAAGATAATCACAAATACAAGGAGTCAGATAAGGGTCCTTCTACCCATTGATCTGCCTCTGGTAGTGCCCAAGACTGTGTGGTAGGACAATCTATTTACCTTCCCACTGTGGGTCACTTTCAGAAGATTAAACTGGATTATAATATTCCTGAATAATCCAGCATACTTCTATCATTTGTAACCTGTTAGTTCCTTCTAGAATCTTCTTCTTTTTTCAGTTTATATAAATCCATGTTCTAAGTTTCCTGCCCACCATGCAGTGAAAGATTTCTGTTTGTTAACTTCCAACTTTGCTCAGCCTCAAGTAGTCAACTTCCTGTGGATAGACCTTCAAGTTGTTGGAAAGTCATTTCCTTCCCCTGTAACAATACTGCTGTGAACATCCTTGAGTTGGCTTCTCTGCACATATGTCCCTGTATGTTGTGGGATGAATTCCTAGAAGCAGAATTCAGAGTCCTAGGTCCACCACCATGGGACACTACTGAGGGTTTGCCCATCCCACAGGAGTTACAAACAGGTTTGATAGCCTAGAGATACTGAAGAGTTGGCTAGGACTCCATTGACAAAGGCATGCAAACACACGCACTGGCATCGAGTCAGATCTGACTCATAGCGACCCCTCCTTGGGTTTCCAAGGTAGTATCACTACAGAAGTAGACTCCTTCCAAGGAGTTGCTGGTGGGTTTGAACCACCAGCCTTCTGGTTAGCAGTCAAATGGCTTAGGCACTACGCCACCAGAGCTCCTTGACAAAGGCACAGGCAGGCCCAACTCTAGGTGCCCAGTGTGCATGAGTTCTCTTCCCTTCCTCAGGGTTGCTTTGGGCACAGCTAAAATAAAACAGGGTCCTAGGGCAGAAAGAAAATTTCCCTCTGCTCTCTTGCCATCTTCCTCGTCCCCACTCCACTCTTTGTTCTCACCACGCAGCTTCTCTTTCTAACCAGGCTGATTATTCTTCATGCTTCACAGGTTACTTCCTGGCCTCAGCCCACTCTACTCACATGTGCATCTTCCTTAGACTTTGTAGGCCCCTCCACTCCCTCTAGGTCCTAGAAACGATCAGCCCTGCCCATTCTGAGTCCCCTTCTGTGCTGTGGGAACACTCCTCTTTGCAGTAGCTGCCATGTCACTTTATGTCTTATCACACATTGTTCAGACTGTTTTTCTAGTCATGTTAATGGAGTATTGTGAGTATTAATCAACCGACAAGTGCTGTGACACCATATTAGGTCATATTGGAGAGGCCTACAGATGCCTCTGTATGATCCTTAGCCTCATAAAGTCACAATTCTAACATTGAGATAAAACTAGCACTCTTGAAGCATTGTCATATTGGGTAACTGCCAAATTCAGTAGGTGCTGAAAATATCTTTGGAATTAGAGAGGAGGGAAACCAGAACAGCCGGTGAAAGTAGGCCTGGAGATGGGCCTTCAAGGGCAAGAGGTTTTAAATAGCCAGATTGTATAATTGCTGCTGCTGATGATGATGATAATGAATAGCCACCCTTTACTGGCAGGCACAGGAGTCTCTGGGTGGCCCAAATGGTTAAGTGCTTGGCTAACTTAACCAAAAGATTGAAGGTTCTAATCCACCCAGGGGCACCTTGGAAGAAAGCCCGGATGATCTACTTCCAAAAGGTCACAACCCTTGAAAGCCCTATGGAGCACAGTTGGATTCTGACACACATGAGCTCACCATGAGTCAGAATCAACTCTGTGGCAAATGCTCTTTTTGGTGTTACTGGAAAGCACCATGTATTTTCTCTCATCCTGGAGCCCAAAACAGGAGTACTAAAGTCCCAACTTTGTAATTGAAGAAACTGATGGTTAGAAAGGTCAAGAACTAGCCCAAGGGTATATTCTAGCTGAGCCTGGATTGCAGCCCAGTTTTGTCTGACCCCAGGCTCTACCTTCACTGCTGACTCACAGCATGGTGCCTTCCATTCTTAGGACTGCTTAACAAACGGGACTGGGAATTCTAGTTGCATCCTTGGTTTCTTGGCTGATGGCTTCCTTGTCATTCTAGGACTTCTGTCATGGGCAGGTGATGTGGCCACCACTCAGTGCCCTGCAGGTCAAACTTGCTGAGCCTGGAAAGTCCTGCAAGCAGGTGTGCCAGGAGAGCCAGCTCATTTGTGAGCCGTCCTTCTTCCAGCACCTCAACAAGGACAAGGACATACTGAAGTAAGTGCCCACGAGCGGGAAGGGCCAGTTCACCATCCACAGAATCTGCCTCTGCTTCCCAATTAAGGTTGGGTGGAGAGGCACAAGGTTTTTAGTTTTCCAGGCTTGTAGGGGAAAAGAAGCAAGGAGTACAGCAATTTACAGCATGATTCCTCTCGGAGAGAGTTGTTGTTGTTGTTGTTATGTGCCGTCAAGTCGGACCGGACTCATAGCGACCCCTCCTTGCGTTTCCGAGGCAGTATCACTACGGAAGTAGATTGCCCCATCTTCCTTCTGAGGAGCAGCTGGTGGGTTTGAACCGCCAGCCTTCTGGGTTAGCAGTCAGGTGCCTTAGCCACTATGCTACCAGAGCGCCCTCGGAGAGAGTTAGCCCCTCATTTTTATTGTCAGGTAGATGAGATCACCCAGCATGATGATATAGTTTAGAATTAGAAGGGGGAGAGGGGTTGGATTTGCAGAAATACTGTCATGTCTGGGCTTAGAGATCATGGGAGATGATGAATTTACTAATATTACATTCAAGGACTCTGGGAGTCAAGATGTGCACAGAGCTACAGGCACAGACTGTAGCTGGTATGGATTGCATTGTATCCCCCAAAATATGTGTTGGAATTTTAACCCTCTACATGTAGATGTAATCCAATCTAGGAATAGGATTTTCCTTATTATGTTAACAAGATCACATTAGGACGCATAGGATGTCTTAAACCAAAAAAAAAAGTAGATTAGCCACAGAGAAGACAGCACAATGGAGGAAAGATAGAGGTCCCATGGAGATAGATCTCCAAGGAACATCAAGAAGAACATTAGAGAAGCTGAGACAAGGGTTTTGCCCCAGAGTGGACAGAGAACCTTCCCCTAGAGCCAGCACCCTAGAAAAATCGCATCTCTACAACACCACTCAGGAATGAAAAGTTAGAAGCCATGCTCTACCTGTAAAAGGGTTGTATATAAGATTTGACAGTATTAAGATTTACAGGAGGGACAGGCTAGATAAGACCCTGGTGCACAAACAGCCACTGTTTCAGACTTCTAGCTTCCTAAACTGTGAGAAAATAAGTTTCTGTTCATTGAAACCACCCATTTATGGTATTTGTGTTTCAGCAGCACTAGGACTAAGATACCCTCCTGAGGCCCTTGTAAGCAGCATACAGTGGCCCCCATCAGAGCCTGAGCAGTGCAGGGGGTGGGTGACAGCCTTCACCCTGGAATCAGAGAGGAATGAAGAATATGGGCAAGGAGCCAGTACAAAACTGCCCACCATAAATTCTGCATGCCACTACTGCCCTGTCCTGGCAACCACAGCCCCTTTAACACCTGTTAGTTCTAGTATCACTCATTTCCCTTTGCATTACCATTTTGAGCTTGGCATCTGCAGTTTCCAAATTTCTGGGCAAGGTTTCTTCTAGTCTCTGGGTCGTAACTCCTGTCAGTGCTAAATCCGTTCTCCCAATTTTTGCTACATCCTACCCTAGCCCATATATTGTTTAATTAAATAGCCTCCCCTCACTCAATACAACTAATTAAGTGTTTTCCTTGAAAGAGACTTGCCTATAAATAAGACACTGAAGCTCTGGTAGCGTAGTGCCTAAGGCATTTGACTGCTAACCAGAAGACTGAGGGTTCAAACCCACCAGTCACTCCTAGGAAGAAAGACTGGGCAATCTACTTCCATAGAGATACCACCTTGAAAACCCAAGGAGGGGTCACTATGAGTTAGAAATGACTTGACAGCAGTGAGTATGTATGAGTGATCCCAATTCTGGAGAGGAGCTATGGTGGCATAGTGGCTAAGGCATTTGACTGCTAATCAGAAGATTAGTAGTTCAAACCCACCAGCTACTCCATGGGAAGAAGATGAGGCAATCTGCTTCCTTAAAGATTTACAGCCTTGTAAACACAAAGGGGGTTACTAAGAGTCAGAATTGACTCAACGACATTGAGTTAGGCTTGGTTTTTTATCCCAACTCTAAGGAAGTGGTGGTTTAGTGATAGAATTCTTGCCTTTCATATGGGCAACCCAGGTTCAATTCCCAGCCAGTGCACCTCAAGTACAGCCACCATCCATCCATCAGTGGAGGCTTATGTGTGCTATGATATTGAACACGTTTCAACAGGGCTTCCAAACTGATGGACTAGTGACAGACTGATCAGCCAGTGAAAACCCCATGGATCACAGCAGTCCAATCCTGTTGTGCATGGAGTCAGCATGAGTTGGGGACCAACTCCACTGCAGCTAACAAAGACAACAAAACAATTCCAACTCTAGATACTCAGTTGAGAGGTCATACTGTCCTAGATGGTCTTGGAATGTTTAAAGAATAGAATGGACTGAGGGCTCCCAGCCTACCTGCTCTCACTAGGCTTCATGCTCTGTTAGAAAGAGCTCTTGGCCACAGTAGCTCTCTGTGCACCAGAGTCTTACCTAGCCTGGGCCCTCTTGTAAATTTTAATACTCTCAAGTGTTATATAAAACCCTTTCGTAGGGAGTGCATATCCTCTAGCATTTCATTCCTGAGTAGCATTGTAGAGCATGTGATTTTTCATATTCCTTTTAAGTAAAGACCAAGCTATCTTGATTCTACTATCAAAACGGAAGCACAGATCAGAGGAGAGAGTTCAGCTGATGCCCTGCTCTGTGACCGGCAAAACTTTGGGGTGAGGGAGGAGTCTGATATTTATGGAAAGCATATAACAGTATTGGAAGTTTCCATCTCCCCAGTACAGATTCTGAATTGTAGGGTTCCAGGAGGGGCTTTCAAGTGTTTCCTTTGTAAACAGCTCCAATAGCAGGTGGCTTTTTGGGAACCCTGATTATTTCTATATTTGCATCAAAAATCTGAATTCACTTGGTTTGGGCAAGGGACAGGAGGCAGTGCTGTTGGTATGCACCCCCTTTCCCTGCTCTGGGAACAGTCCATCCTAGAAATAGAACCCATGTGTGACCCCTGACTAGCACCCTTCCTTTCTGCCCAGTCAGCACCCAGAGTTCTTGGCTGGAATATGTTGACCAGAACAGAGCACAGAGCTAGCACAGGCCTTTACACAGCTGGTCTGCCTCAAAGGCAAGGGCTTCCTTTTCATTGTCTAGGTCCAACAGGGGACAAGGAATTCAAAATATCTGCCAGTGGCAAGTTCCCTCCATTCTATCAGTTTTCTCATCTGTAAAATGGGCACATCCTAGGTAATGGTGAGATAATGTCCAGCCCATGCTAAGGTCAGAGCAGAACAGCCCCTGTTCCAGAAAATCTGGGACAATGAAACAGGCCAAGTCTTTCAGCCACATCGCTGACTCTTAACAAACCAGGCCCCAACCCTGGCCTCCATCTCCCCCTCCATGCATCTTCCAGACTACCTGAGACCAGAGAGCAAAAGGACCCACTGTGGGTCTACTCTGCCTGCCTGATCTCTGTACCTAGTGTTCCTAACAACCCCTACCCCCATGTAGACATGTGTGTTTTCCTACAAGAAGACTGAAATGAATGCTAATTTTGCAATAAAGCCACCTGAAATTAATTCTCTGAGCATAAGCACCCTACTGAATAACTTGTTCATGTGGTTGTAAATACTGATAATGTTGTAAAACCTCCGCTATCTGGTAGTCTATTGAGTGCCTCCTCAGTATGGAGGTAATCCTAGCACAAGCATATTCATGGCCAATTAGCAGTTAGGGGTTCCTACAAGCCAGCCCTTCTTTTTCTTCTCTGACTCAGGACCTGGTTCTGAGCCAACCTTAAGCTCCTTTCAGTCTTTGGGTATCCATGACTTTTAAGAACCTCTGTCTTCACTGTAGAATATGAAGTTACTATATAGCATAAAATGAGCCATTTGCATGCATCCTGGGCTGTATTCTTAATTGGGGAGAATCAGGCACCCCATCAGTGTAATGATCATTGTAACCTGATCAGAATCAGGCACCGAGCACACTACAAGCCCTGCCCACAAAGCATGCCACCCAGACCAGAAGACAGAGGGCCATGGGACATGACAGACCCCACTCCAGTGTGGTACAGAGGGGAGGTTCTCAAGCTTTATAGAAGCACTGTTAATGTGAAAACTGTTGTTGTTGTTGTTGTTATGTGCCATTGAGTCGGACCCAACTCATAGCGACCCCTCCTTGGGTTTCCGAGGTGGTACCACTACAGAAGTAGATTGCCCAACCTTCCTTCCGAGGAGTGGCTGGTGGATTTGAACCACCAGCCTTCTGGTTAGCAGTCAAGTGCCTTAGGCTACCAGAGCTCCTAATGTGAAAATTAGTTTCCAATTTTGCTGCATTTCAAAGCTGTATCTTCTTATCTCTTGCAATATTTGAGTTTGTGGGGTTTCTTTTTTAAGAAGAGAATTCAAAACTCTGAAGTCTGGACTGTGAGTGAGAGCAGAGAGGGCCTGGAGTCAGCGTGCTCGTGAAGAAGTCTTGGTTGAGTGACCAGCTGAGAGGGAACTTAGTGCATGCAGGATGGGAATAAGAAGACTAGAGAGGGATGAAAAGGAGAAGAAACTCCAGCGGTGGGCTAGTGTGAAGGGCAGGACCTGGAGGCGGTGTGGCCCTGCCTCCTTCCCAGCATCTGGAATGGGTGTGTGTAGGGTGGGATGGGGGCTTCTGTCTCTCCTGTGGGGCCTGAACTTCTTACAGTGCCCTTGGCTGCTCACCAGCCCAGTACCTGGGACTGCGGGGGAAGCAGTGAGCACCCCCATGGGTAAGTGGAGAGTTGCACCCCCATGGGTAAGTGGAGAGTTGCCCTTTTGTCATTTGTCAAGAGCTGTACAGTGTGAACTGAGGGCTGGTAGGCACTGGCATCGCCAATTACCAGCCTTTTAGAAATGCTGTTTAGTAGAGACATACCTCATTGTTTGGAAAACCAGTCAAAGGAAGGAATCAAACATTAAAAAAAAAAAAAAAAAAAAAAACTACAGATATTCCTAAATAAAACTATTGCCATTAAGCGGATTTTTAAGAATTGAAAAAAAAATACAGTGGAAATTCAA